ACAAACATAAACATAGTATATATATGATGTGGTCATAATGTTCTTTTAAATGTGAAGTAGTCGAAGAAGTAAATGGTAATAACCGTTGACAATATTATTAACAAATACAATAGGTTCGCAGTACTCCCAATATTATAAAAAGTATAAAAATGTAATAGAATATAAGTAAAATCTAGATATTGTAGCTGGGGATCAGTTAAAAAACAACTAATCATCCGAATAAATACAATGAGTTCATATGTTAGACACACTAAACAAAACTCCAAGTGTTTACTACTAATATCAATACAACTCATAAAACGATAATATGTCTACAATCCATATACAACCCATACAACAACCACTTAAAATACAAATCACCTTTTAATATTTAATATAATATTATTTTTTTATTTCTTATTAAGTGTGGCTTTTATTACTATGTTTGAATATGCATATAATATTTATCAAATTATTAAATATCATTTAATTAAATCACAAATTAATTGACTCGTTTGTGTAGTTTTATATAAAAAAAACCACACATTCGCACATAGTGATTCGCCCGATATTCAATAACTCTTTTCCAAAAACGTACACGCGCCGAAACCTGTCCGGCTTATTAATATAATTAATGCTAGAGAATCTTCACTTGCTGAAAAAAGTATGACAACAAAGGTTCTCTCCAGCAAATGTCAAAATTCCGGTGTGTACGAATCTCAATTCTGAGTTTTGCATATTTGATTATTTGTAAAATAGTTTGTATTGTTGTCTCCAGGTATCTTATGAAAATATTCCTTATGCTTATTAAACTTATTATGCATAAATAGAATTTCGGAACTCAATAAAAGGCCGATTTTTAAAAAGAAACGTGGACTTTAAAGTGAAAAAACGTGTATGGAATTTATTAAACAAATTCATTGAGTACAAATAGTAATTCTCTTATATACGGAACCATCAGTATTTAGACAAATATATTTATAAAATTTAGTAGGCCTTACGTATCTGAATAAAATTAAAATGTTTACTTTTCCGTACACACATCTTTGGCATCGTGATGAGATGCGCTAGGTGTTAACAGTAGATTGGTAATATTTACTCCGAATTTCCAAACACTGAAAAATTTA